AAATAAACACAAATTTGCATCAAGGACGGTTTCGTTTTATTAATCACGCACTCCACTGTTGAAACTGCTTTTGGGCTAGCGGGAGCCGGGGAGCACGATGGAGTTTCTTTTTGATTCGTTCCGTTCCGTTTCTAAATGTTTGCTGATTTCGTTTCGAGTTTTCACACAAGCCGAAATCTATGCGCCTGGACGGGCGACCGCTTTTCTTTTTCAGTTGCCCGAGACCAAATGTTAGTCGCCTGAGGCGACCGGGTGCCGCTAGAGCACAGCCTTGATTAGATATTTACCTCACCCCTTCTCTGCATGGTAAATATTCACCTCTAGCCATCTCCACTGTGGTGAATAGTTACTAAATATATACCAATGTACAACTGACCTGCTCCTTGAGTCTATAAAATTCATCAATAACATATTGATATCTTGGTGTGGTAATTCCAAAGAAAGCTGCCAGCTTTTCTCCCAGATATTCAGCCACTAAAGATAGCAAAAAAAAAAGGAAAGAATAAGGGAAAAATATTATGAATCAGTAATATTATAAGACAGGTGAACTGAATTGACAACTGCTAATAACAGCGGAGCTCCCAGAGCGCAGCCCCATAATTATACAAAATGGTAGTGGTAACCCATCAAGCCAAAAAAATTTGGACTTGTGACCATACAACTGTACGACCAACCATACAAGGTGCTACTTTTAACATGCAGGCACGCCAACGCCATGGCTTTGTCCAGTAGTCTGAGTGGTCAGTGCTCTGGGTTCCAAGTCGGATGACCTGGGTTCTAGTCCTGGCCGGGGCAAGGCGTTATGCCCTTGAGACGGGGGGAAAAAAAATGCGAGCTCCGCTTTTAGGCTTGGCTAAATCTATATATCACAATTGGCTAATGAGACTGACCTTGAAATGTCAAACATTTTATTTGCTCAGCCATTAACAAGCTATCTGAAATCTGGGAATCAAACTCATAAACTCACAACAAATCTGTTGTCATTGAACAATTATCATTTTTCAAAGCTTCGAGAAAATTAAAATAAGGATACTCTTAGAATGTACAAATAGCACATGAAATGGTGTAATATAACTATAAAAGAGTAATGATTACACAAACTACCTCTATAAATTGTAAATACCTTTAAGAGCTCCACTTGATACTGCTACAATGTAGTACCATACCCAAAGTGGCCATGTTAGGTCAGACTGAAAAATCAAAGGGTAAGCTGTCTCAATAACATCTCCTTGGTTCATCATATCATGATATGTGAACTTCCACAGCAAAACATACACTATTAATGGCTTTCTGTTCAAAAGCCGTTTCTTAGCCATTCAGAAAAATTTGCATCCGTTTGAAAGGCTTTGGTCATCCATTCAATAGAAACATCCATCCATTCAACTGGCTTGGTCATCCATTTGTCTAAAACATCAGCCAGTTTGAACGGCTTGGTCATCTGTTTGTTGAAAACATCAGCCTGCTCGAATGACTCAGACAATTTTCTGTCAAACAACTTGTATCATCCGTTTGGAAGGTTCAGGATTGGATAGTGTTGTGTTACCTGTCACACAGGTCTACTTTATGCAAATGTCAGAAAATTTATTATATTAAAATCAGAAATGGAATCGTGCACTTAATAATTATGTTTACCTCATTGAATTCATTGTCAAAAGAAAAGATAAAGGGAACAATTTGGCAACATGCAAAGCTGCAATAAAAAAGTTGCAGTCGCATTTTTGTGCGATAAAGTGGCAATAAACACTCAACACGGCAATGATAAATAATGACAACTTGACCTTCACAGGTTATTTGAGTTTTGCTTTTAATAGAAGACACTGAACTAAGTCTCTGCATGTTTAACAAACTTGAATACTTCCTCAGGCAATTTTATAGTGGCTGTGGGAAGTCAATATTATTATTACATCAGAACAGTTGACTATCTGTTCAAACCTACTTTAAATGTGAATCAGACTGGATCTGTCCATTTGTTTGGAATAACAGCCAATCCGTTTGGCTCTTATAGCAATTGTTTTTCAAGAGCGGTCCGAAACTAATCGTAAACCCATTCATCCATCTATGTCAACCTGTTTGAAAACTTTCACAAACCATTCAGATGTTTAATTATTTTCACAAGCCATTCAGTTGTTTGGGTAACCCATGTGATAATTTTCGCATGCCATTCTGTCGTTTGCATGACCCATTCATTCGTTAGTGTATGTTTTCCTGTGGAAGGTCACATAAATTATCGTAGGACTGGATTGAAATATCTACATTGTTGATCATGAGGATTTCCAGAGTGTTTCAAGTGATTAACTTATGGCCTGTGATTGATTTAAGCTGACATTGTATATCGTGACTGTAAATATATGTGATGTACAAGTATAAATGCATCAGTTCTATAAATACATGCACAATCATGTACATTGCATGGCAAGTAGCCATAAAAAAGGCACGATTTCATTTAATAGGTAACACACATATACTGAGGTACAAATGTCACAGACGACCCAACCAATGTTTCTGAATGGATTTCTAAATGCCTGTCATAATCTAGTCTTTATCATCATCATGCGATCAGTAAGCCTAATAGACCAGTACTTGGGAAACCATAATGAGATCAGTGATATTGTTGCATGGGTGTCCAGCCTTACCTGTCATGCCACTTATTACACTTGGATTTATTAACACCAATTTATAGTAATCATTTAATTATTTTCATTTCTTCAACAAGTACATAATGATATTTCTGTAACTTGAAGAACTATTAGCTGTACTCTGTCTGGTCTACATTATGAAAATTGGTTTCATCTTTTATTGTGAAATTTACAATGACTTCACAACACATTATAAATATACTATACAAAAAGTATTATCACTTAGGTGACAGTGGCCTAAGAAAGGAATACTTGTGATTACAATGACTGACATTTTAGATGACATGAAGGGAACTCGTCATCAGAGTCAAGTGTTTTAATCCCATTGACACTGTACTAGTAACATCAAAATAAACATATTCCTGTGTTCTTTCAACTTTCTTAGACTCCATGGCTTTTCAGGAAAAGAAAGGCAGAGATGGTCACTAACAATAAATATTTGCCCTCTAAAAACAAACAAAAGTGTTATCCTTTCTATGGTAGTTTTCTTTCTAGTTGAGTCACTCTAAGTCACGACTTCATGAAAATTACAAATGTGCTCATCTTGACTTTAAAAAAAAATTCAAGAACTGGCCTGGTAATTCAATCGCTACGTAAGCATCTCTTCCAATGACGAATATTTTTGCACTTGGCAGTTGACGAAGAAAACAATATTTACAACCTGTTTCAATGAACCTGTAAACTGCGTCAGAATGTGTAATTTGTGGCAAAATAGATAGATAAAAGTAACAAATTCTAGGACTAACTTTACGATAGATTAATGCTGAATTGAATCAATCGCTCGAGTCCGTTTATTTTTATTTTTTTCCAAACGCTGCATAAGTATCGAGAAATATAAATAATATTGAACGCCAGGGAAGAGCGTCAAATTATGTTTTGTTTCCCTGGCTCGTATTCATTGAAGGCCTTTGCTTCCCATTAAACACACGCGTAGATAAGAATCTAGTTTCAAGGCGAAATTCTTTATCATTTTGCTTCTGAAACGACGAACACTGATTTAATTCTTAGGCAATGAACAGTCTACGTGTAAATGCATTTATTTAACATGCATAATGTGAAAACAGTGGGAATAAATGACACATGATTGTCACGCACTAACCGGATCAATGTCAGTCTCTTTTTTCTTTCTGCTGCTTCTCCTGTCGTCGTCTGAACTGCTGTCGGATGAATTTTCCGAAGGTTGGTTCTTCTTCTTCTTTTTCCTGTATTTTTTCTTCCGTTTGTCATCCGAGAGGTCGCGATCAGAGGGTTCGTCTTCCTCTTCGTCGTCCCCGTCTCCATCTAAATTAATCGTCTGAAATTCGTTTTTTAAACCTGAAAAGTTAACTTGAGGTAAACCTGCGACACCTAGATCAATGTTCCCCTCATCTTCGTCGTCGGAATCGTCTTGCTTTTCTCCTGTCAAGGCCGTTTGCTCTGTTGTAGCATTGCTTACCGTCTCCATGTTTGTTGTGATCAAGGTTTCAAAAAGGACAAGCATGCGCGTTATTCATGTGTCACGTGCTGATAAACGATTGTGGGCTCAAATAGGGTCAGCTTGTTGGCTTAGTCTCGTACCCAGACCTTCAACGGCCAAGTAATTCAAAGCTAGGTTTGAACTAAGATAACTCAGGGTTAGCGTAAAATCTGATTTTATGACTGAAAGCTTTAAAAGAATATTTAGTATAATTCTTTTGGCTACAATTTAATGCCTGGATGTTGTAAAAGTAATTGAAGAAATTAAAACTTAACCCCATGATAGCGCAAATTGGCCTTTGAACAACTGAACCCTCAACCTTAACTCAGTTCAGGTCAACCTATAGCATTTTACGCGAATAATTCCGCAGTGAACAAGTGAAATTATCATCCAAAACCTAAAAAATAAGCTAATGATAAAACTAATAATCATGAAATAAACACTTTGCTATCATCGAAAAAGGTAAAAAATAAATGTCAGTTGTTTAAAACTGCATGGTGCTGATAGGCCCTTCCCGACAATGCCAGCACATTTTCGGCATAATTCGGTTTTAGGTGCATTTTTTCTCAGACACGTTTTCTCAAAAAGAATTGCTAACATAATTTAGCCTTTTCCGTGCTGTCTCGCCTGCTGTCTTTCCTTGGCACGTCTATCCGGTCAGCGGTTAGCTTGCATATGTTGTACTCAGTCCTTGCTTAGGCGTGGTCCTTGCTAAAAGTAAGAACAAGATGGGTCAGCTTCACCATCATCACGAAGTAACTTAAAGGTCAAAGAAGGGCTTCAGAAGTAAAGCAAGATCTCTCGGTGCAGCCATTTACTGCTGCAGCAAAGGGAGTATTCTCGATATCTGAGTCCGGTCGCAATAGAAAATGTGCCCTAGTCAAGAGAATATGATATTCCGCCCAAGTTTACTACATGCAAACAAGTGTAATATCGCTGTAAAACTAGCGATGAACGCGTTGAGGACGTCATGAAACGCATAGAGCATTGAAGAAAATAAACAATGTTACATAGGAGTAAATAGAAACAAAAAAATGTTTTTCACTTTATTCAGTTAACGTATAACGCTGCCGGATGCCTTGTGTGTATCTTTCTTCAAAATAAATCAAAGCATGTTTCAAACCAAAGGTGTATAATTTTAAAAAATGATCATAATCTGAGCATTATTTAAACAAAAACCAGCATTAGGAGTATAAAACGCCAGTTTCACTAGCATAATGGGTAAGGGTCTAACTTCTGAAGTTCATTTTGTTGATTAAAAAATGAACAAACAAACAAAATAAACTTGAACATTCATAACCACACAGAAACGCTCCGTGTACTGTACACTCCAGTTGTAAATAGCTCTTTTGTTCGAGATTTATCTTAAGGCGTATTCGAAAAAAAAAGTGTCCTTTTTACTGCGTTTCAATTTTCGACAGTTATTGCGATATATTACAACATTTTTAGCCACTGAGGCAAGATTATGCAATCTAGCCCCTTAAATTAATGCTTTTCGTCGCTTTAGCTCCTCCATGTAAGGCGAGTTCATTCTTTAAGGGAGTTATATTCACTGTGATATATCAGCTACCACGTGATCCCCAACGTTGAACTGTTGAGGTAAAGTAGCTCGAACACCATGCGCAAACAGGAGGCACCAGGAGCCTGATTAACAAGAACTTTTAATAGGGGGAGACTGCCACTCTTTTCTGACCTCATTTAGCCCTACGTACAATATATTAAATGTCTTATAGGCAGGCGTGTGTGGGCCCTACAGGACAACTGATCTTGGCAGATTAAACTGAGTCAAACAATTTTGCAAGACTTTCGAAATGAATAACAAAATACTTGAAAAACAACCAATCTTCGAGAGCTAAAATCTAGACAAAACTTCCCATGACGATAATCGTAGGAGGCCTATTACAACGATCAGGGTCGTTGTAATGTGAGGTCTTGAAGCGCAAGACAAACCAAGGCTCACAAAATTCGCACAAGGATCTCATGATAATCTAACAGGCCATACATGTGACACGCGTTAAGAGTCTCTCAATGACGTTCTAGCCTGTTCCAGGCGTTCTTTAAGTAAAACGAAGTGCGATAGTGAACATATAGTAGCAGAAGAGAGAAAAAATGAGGAGGCTTGGGTTGGGTCGAGTAATGAAACCCGCCCCAAACCTCCCTCGCTTTTTCACTCCTCTGCTACTTTCGCGCCGTTTTACAAATGAATGCTTGGAACAGGCTTTGACGTTCTGTTAATGAGTTATTCTTGCAGATTTACGGCAGATGAGAATAAAAAGATTCTTTCACAACCAAGGATGGTTTGATATCTGACAATCTTCCACATCCTGCAAAGAACGAAAGACGTAAATAAAATTTCATTTTCCAAACATAAACCATTCACACTATATATGGCATCACCAACACTTCAACTCCAAAGATCTGATTGTTTATTCATCCATCTAGCAACTTGACATTTCCTTCTGAATTAATAAGAAAAATTTGGAGCTAGCTCATGATAATAACATTTCCTTGATAAAGGCTGTAAGGTGTCTTTATTCATGTACTACACATGCACTGGCCTCTCTTAAGAGGGCACCATTCACAAAAAGGCGTCTTCAGAGAGGATGTATTTATGTGTAAAAGTATTAACATGAACAAGAACAACATGATTATATTATAACACCAGAACTCAACAAAATTTCAGGTGTCCAAAGGAACTGATACAAAAACGGACTGCATTTTATGCCATTAAGGATTTAACTCCATTAGCTAAGATATCAGGCAGTCTGTGAATGTGAATATTTTTAAGTGTGATCTTTCCAAGTTATTAATACAAAAATTTTAGTTGATGTCTTGTACATCTTAATTAAGTTTTTTATATCTTAGCATCTACTTTTATCGTTGATTGCATGTATTTTTTTACTTTTTACCTTATGTGTTCCTTTCTGAAAACCATCCGAAAAAGTTATCTCAATCAAGATGATGATGATGATGATTATTATCATTATTATTGAATATGAAAGCGATCTTTGCAGTTATGAACACTACTTGAGCAGAGATTAAAAGGAAATGAAAAAATAGAACTAGAAAGAATAACGTAAATTTGTGACTTGGAGTAAAGATTTTTTTTACTCTCTCAATTGAGATACAATGTCGTAAAAGTCTTGTTCTTAGTAAGTAGACAAAACCCAACCTGCTACTATCATGGCAATTTTCAATTCTTCTTTTAGCATGTGTAGAACATCTGACACACCTTGCTTTCCCTGAGAGAAAAAAGCGCGGTAAAAAATAACACAACACAAAACATTTTCCGATCATCCGGACTCGCCTCTCGGGTTCCTGTTTTTATGAATATCAACAAGTTACATTCGAGATCTGTGACAACTTTTTTCCTTCACACAAAGTACATGTAGAGAAGCAATGTTCATGCTAATCTATGAATGAAGCTTCAAAAACAAAATAGTGAAATAAGCGACGTGCGCACGTTGTAGCAGCTTGAAACAGACTGATCTAATTTATAATATTGGGTCGTAAAACGTTTTTGGTTAGCTTCACTAACTTTTTAAAAGTACTTTTGGTAAATGTCAACATAGCCGAATGCACAATTATTACAACGATCCTTATTCAGTTCTATTTTTGGTTCATTAATGTTCCTATATTCTATTATCCTAACTATTCAGCCCCCACGAGCCCGGATATAGTCGAGGTTTAACTGTATATTTTACAATGGAATCTTCTAATCTCGTAGTCTCCTTCGCAGTTGTTCTTCGGATATCAGGCAACGAGAACGGCTATAAGGCATGCTTCTCATCTCGATTTCACATTTTTTAAAGCTTTAGTTTATTTAAGCTTATAGTATTCTTCGTCCCCGGGCGTAGCATCTCAGCTCTCACCGAGAACACAAATTGAAAACACATATGCGTAAGAGTAGACATGGAAGGCAAAATCTCTAGTTCATACGGTGGAGTTTAGTCGTTCGCACCCCATTCTCATTCCCAGAGTCCTCGTTGCTTTTGGTCGCGTAACCGAAAATGAAAAAAGAGAGTTATGTAGTGTTCCCTTCAAGGTGAGTATAGTTTTTGTTGTAGTACTGACAGAGCTACATCTAAAGCATAGTAATAGTTATAGGTCGATCAATTCAAAGCTTCAACATCCCTTGAGCAACCCCCTGGGCATTTGAACTTTGAAGATTACGTCGTTCATATTACCGCCCCGCCCCCCCACCCGGCTAAAATTGTGCTCGAATGCTCCACCCAAATGTCGGATTGATCGTCAATTTTTTTTTTGAAAGGCAAAATTGGCGATCGTGACTTTGTGGACCTCAATTTCTGAGCCATCTGCTCACGAAAGTGAACTTTGAATCTTTAAACACCTCCTTGTTAAAAGATGAAACATTATTCCAGTGGAAAGACGTCACAGTTCTGGTTCAAATTTCCTGCCACAACGGACCACGTTCAAATTCCTCGCTCCCCGGGCACGGACGCCAGTTAAATGCCCATGGGTTGGCCGGGGGATGTTGAAGCTCCAAACTGATCTGTGCATGGGCTTCAAAGGTAATCTTTGGGGAGGAGACTTTGAGTTTTAGGTACAAAAATGATTGTGCGACTTACTTGGTATGCTAAACCCCACACCACAGGTCTCCCAATGAACACAGCCCGTGCTCCAAGTGCCAACGCTTTGAGTACGTCAGTACCATGTCTTATTCCTCCGTCAACAAAAACGTCAACTTTCCCTTCAACAGCCTTTACTACTTCTGGGAGAGCATCAATCTACAAATAAAACAAACAAGCTTTGTAAACATTTATAGCGGAGCTCGCAGAGCGTAGCCCCATAATTATACAAAATAGTAGTAACCCATCAGGCCGAAAACATTTGGATGTACGACCTTACGACCGTACAAGGTGCTACTTTTAACATGCGTGGTCAACTGTACCGCGAACACATCAACGCCACGGCTTTGTCCAGTAGTCTAGTGGTCAGTGCACTGGGCTCCGAGTCGGACAACCCGGGTTCTAGTCCTGGCCGGGGCAAGGCGTCGTGCTCTTGAGACGTGCGGGAAAAAAATCTAAATCTATATATTATGATAAGCTGAATTCTAAACGCAATTTTGGTGGTTCTTACTTATGATCTATTGGAGGACAAATGTTGGCATGAATGACGTCATCATTACCAACACTTTGTTTTTTGTTATCAATAAACCAAATAGATTTTATGTTGCCGTGGGTCTGTACAGTGATAGATCATGGAACACATCGACATTAGTCACATACTGAGCTTCCCCCTCACCTGTCCAGTATTGAAATAGTCAGCAGAACTTACATCCCAATCTCTCCCTTGAATCAAGAATTTAAAGGTGTATGAAGCTGAGGCAATTGCTTTGTGTCTGCTTATAGGGGGTGTCCAAATAGGAAAGGTGCGCATTATCAAAGGTTTGAGTGCTTTAAGTAATTTTAACGAAGAAACTAATGTACATTACAGTTGCTGGCACTCCATCCAGTTGTCGGCCTCCATGATTGGACACAATTATTCCATTAACACCATGCTCAACAGCTAGTTTAGCATCCTCTGCAGTCAATATCCCTTTTATCAGAACAGGTAGCTTGGTAACACTTTTCAGCCAGGCAAATGAATTCCAGTCAATTGCCTGTTCAATGATAGATTTCACGTTCACAGCATAGTCATCAGTATTCGGTCCTTCAACATTACCAAACTTCAAATGTGGCACTAAATCAGCTTGATTTCTTAAATCGCGCCATCGCCGACCATGGATTATGGCATCAACTGTAAAAACGATTGCTTTGTAACCACTGTCCTCTGCACGCTTAATAAGGCTCTTTGTAAATTCACGATCCTGGAAGATGTACATTTGAAGCCAATGTAAACCATTTGGTGCTGTGTTTGCAATATCTTCAATGGTGGCTGATGCCATACAACTAACAACCATGCAAGTTTTTGTATCTTGTGCGGCTGTATCAAGAGATTATTGAAAATAAATCCTTCAAGTATCCTAGTTCATTTGAATAACCCTTAATTAGTATGCACATTCTTTATTCTGTTCTCTACACTTTTTTTAAAGCACTAACAAGGAGAGTTTGAGCAACAATCAAGAGCACATTTTAGGTTAATGATCATTTCCTCCATTCTCATAACCTTTATATTTAATTGAGGGGTGACACTGTAAAGAGAGATTAGATGGTGGCCAGTCATAGGGGGGGGGGGGTTAGAAAAGTTTATAAGTTTTAAGTCTCACAGGTAATTTTCTGCGAATGAATAAAACCTTGAAATAACAACTTGCTAAAATAGATGAGGGAGATGCAGTGGCCTTCTGGTTAGTGCACTGGACTCTGGGTTGAGAGGTCTGGGTTTGAGACCTGGCCGGGTCATGTGTGGTGTTCTTTGCCAAGGCACTTCACTCTCACAGTGCCTCTCTCTCTCCACCCAGGGGTATTAAAATTGGTACCAGCCAATTGTCAGGGAAGCCTGAAGAAGTGCAGGGTGATAACCTAGCAGTGGACTAACATCCCATCCAAGGGGAAGTAGTAACACTTCTAGTTGCTACATGAAAATGGGGACAAAAAGGGAGGAATTAACCAAAGGAGAATAAGGATGGCTGAGGATGAAAAGATTAAACAGAAATGCAAAAGAGTGTCTCGAAAATTCTGGATGAGTTTTTTTTATCCTAAAAACAGACAAACTGTTAATTACTCTATATAATTTAATTACAGCACTTTCAGTAACATGTGAACTATTGAGTTGTAGATGGGTTTTAAGTTGCCTGCAATCATTTCACAGACCTCAAGGTAACATTTGGTTCATTTAAGGTGCCAAACTTGGTCATTTTTTTAAGTTGTGGATGGAAGATTACACGCCATTTTTTTTGTTTTTGCCTCACTCTGGACTTGACAATCACAAGAATGATTCAGGGCAGTATTGATGTATTAGCTTTCCAAAGGCCCCAGAGTTCACAAGTAATTGAAAAGTGTAATATCAACCTTACCTTGTGCACTGGCCTTTTCTGCCATAGGGTTTGCCATGGCTTGTATCCCGACAGGAGCAATACAAATAGGTATGCTGATTTTCTCTCCATATAAGGACAATGACAAGTCCACATCAGATATTCCACACAGGATACGAGGTCTTATACGTAACCTTAAAGGAAACAGGCTCATAATTATTCTTTGACATTGGTTTCCTGATGTGATATTAGTGCCTTTTCACAGACCTCACAGAGCTCAAATTATAAATCACACAATTTGTAATAAAAGGCACAATATCAATCCAGGAAACAGCGAATTTGAACTGAACACTGAGAACCCTTTAGTCCTTTATGGGCTTAGTTCACTTGAGCAACTAACACTATGTAAAAGCTTGTTTCCCTGGTTAAAAATTTAATTATCTCTGTTATGACTTTCAGAAGTACAAATGGGCTGACCCCTGATAGTAATTGTAAAGCAAGTCTTAATGCAGTAGGTTGTTATTCACTTCTTGACTAATTAATTAATTAGCTTGAAATTGATTAAAAATTAATCAATTTTAAAGTCAATTAATTCATTGGTCAAGATACATTCAATTTCTTTTTCTTGGTTTAGAATTTTAAAAACTAGGTGGGTTTTTTATTTCCCTTAATCAAATTATTTTAACGACAGGGGTTTCAATAACTTTTTCCATAAGCGCAATTTAGCTAGTCCAATGCTGTACTAGGCGGCAGTGTCCTGAAAACGGGCCGTAAGGCGAAACTAAAACACGAGAGTCTGCTCGCAAGCTAAACAGATGGCGGTAAGAGGCAGGAGCGGCAGTAGACCACCGGTAACTGGCTATTAATGAAACCCTGCATAACTAATACAAAACAACGAAAAACAATACTACTCACACTGATCTACAACACATTTTTACCAAAAAATTGATTCATCACTCGTTACGTTCATATTCAATAAAATTCCACGAATCTATAGGCCTCTAAAGTACCGTTCAAAGAAGAAAATATTTTGCAAAAACAACGGTGATACTCTCGCGTGCAGCTCCTGTGTTGTGCGTAACATTTCGAAGGCAACAACGGTCTGCACCAAAACTTAATGGGCGAAAGGCGACGTGAAACGCAATTTACTGAGGATTGCTTACAGCTGCGAGCTTGGAAACTTTAATGTACCATGTCGTGTTAGAAATAGAAAGCTTTTCCTTTTCTTACTTGTTGTATGCTTGACAATTTTCCTTCAACGTGAATTCCTCTTCGGCCCCTGAAGCGTAGAAATCGTAGGCGTATTGTGGCAAGACTTTCTTCGCAAGTACCTCGAAATCACCGATACACACTAGCTTTGCCATGTTGAAAATTTCTTAACTGATGTGCAGCTATATAATTTATAGCAACCCTGACGGGAAAAAGGCTAGTGAAACTGCACACAAGACAGTCCTTTCGGAAATAACCCGTGTCAATAACCTTTGAATACACTTGACCTCATAATGGCGCGGCCATGTGTAACCGCGTAATAGTCTGGGTTCTAGTCACGCGATGCGC